GTCGGCCTCACCTCCACACACAGCTTGGGCTCTGGAACCCAACTCCTTGAGAGGGGTTGGACGCTCCACTTTTCTGGTGTTTCCCGCGGGGAGAGGCGGCGAGCTGGGGTGGCCATTCTCATTGCCCCCCATCTCAGCCGCCACGTGTTGGAGTTCTCCCCGGTGAATGAGAGGGTCGCGTCCCTCCGCCTCCGGGTGGGGGACAAGTCTCTCACTGTTGTGACGGCCTACGGCCTAACAGCAGTGCAGAGTACCCGGCCTTCTTGGAGTCCTTGGGAGGGGTACTGGACGGTGCACCGCCCGGGGACTCCGTTATTCTCCTGGGGGACTTCAACGCCCATGTGGGAAACGCCAGTGACACTTGGAGAGGGGTGATCGGGAAGAGCGGCCCCCCTGATCTGAACCCGAGCGGTGTTCAGTTGTTGGACTTCTGTGCCAGTCACAGTTTGTCCATCACGAACACCATGTTCGAGCACAAGGGTGTCCACCAGTGCACGTGGCACCAGGACACCCTAGGCCGGAGGTCGATGATCGACTTTGTTGTCGTATCATCTGACCTTCGACCGCGTGTCTCGGACACTCGGGTAAAGAGAGGGGCGGAGCTGTCAACCGATCATCACCTGGTCGTGAGTTGGATCCGCTGGCAGGGGAAGAAGCCGGTCAGACCTGGCAGACCCAAGCGTATAGTGAGGGTCTGCTGGGAACGTCTCGCTGAGCCCCCTGTCAGACGGACTTTCAACTCACACCTCCGGGAGAGTTTCTCCCAGGTCCCGGTGGAGGAGGGGGACATGGAGTCCGAGTGGACCATGTTCTCTGCCTCAATCGCCGATGCGGCGGCCCGTAGCTGTGGTCGCAAGGTCTCTGGTGCTGGTCCCGGCGGCAACCCCCGAACCCGGTGGTGGACACCGGCAGTAAGGGAAGCTGTCAGGCTGAAGAAGGAGTCCTATCGAGCCATGATGGTTCGGGGGACTCCTGAGGCAGCTGTCCAGTACCGGCAGGCCAAGCGTGCCGCAGCCCGGGCAGTTGCAGAGGCAAAAACCCGGGACTGGGAGGAGTTCGGAGAGTCCATGGAGCATGACTATTGGTCAGCCTCAAAGAAATTCTGGCAAACCGTCCGGCGCCTCAGGAGGGGGAAGCAGTTCTTTGCCAACACCATGTACCAGTGGAGAGCTGCTGACCTCAACGGGGGATATTGTCGGGCGGTGGAAGGAATACTTTGAGGTTCTCCTCAATCCCCCCGTCACGTCCTCTGTCTCAGAGGCAGAGGCTGAGGATGCTGGGGCGGATACATCCATCTCCCTGGCTGAGGTCACCAAGGTGGTTGGTAGCCTCCATGGTGGCAAGGCTCCGGGTGTGGATGAGATCCGCCCTGATTATCTAAAGTCTCTGGATGTTGTAGGACTGTCTTGGCTGACACGTCTCTGCAACATCGCGTGGCGATCGGGGGCGGTGCCAATGGAGTGGCAGACCGGGGTGGTGGTCCCTCTCTATAAGAAGGGGGACCGGAGGGTGTGTTCCAATTATCGTGGGATCACACTCCTCAGCCTCCCCGGTAAGGTCTACTCCAAGGTACTGGAGAGGAGGCTACGGCCGATGGTCGAATCTCGGATCCAGGAGGAGCAGTGTGGTTTTCGTCCCGGTCGCGGAACACTGGACCAGCTCTATACTCTCCATCGGATACTCGAGGGTTCATGGGAGTTCGCCCAACCTGTCCACATGTGCTTTGTGGATTTGGAGAAGGCGTTCGACTGTGTTCCCCGGGGTGTCCTTTGGGGGGTTCTCCGGGAGTACGGGGTCGGGGGTCCTCTGCTGAGGGCCATCCGGTCCCTGTATGACCGGAGCCAGAGCTGTGTTCGCATTGCCGGCAGTAAGTCAGATCTGTTCCCGGTGAATGTTGGCCTCCGACAGGGCTGCCCTTTGTCACCGGTTCTGTTCACTGTATTTATGGACAGAATATCTAGGTGCAGCCAGGGGTCGGAGGGGGTCCGGTTCGGGGACCACAGGATTTCATCTCTGCTGTTTGCGGACGATGTTGTCCTGTTGGCTCCAACGAACCAGGACCTGCAGCATTCACTGGGACGGTTTGCAGCCGAGTGTGAAGCGGCTGGGATGAGAATCAGCACCTCCAAATCTGAGGCCATGGTGCTCGACCGGAAAAAGGTGCCCTGCCCTCTTCAGGTGGGTGGAGAGGTCCTTCCTCAAGTGGAGGAGTTCAAGTATCTCGGGGTCTTGTTCACGAGTGAGGGAAGAATGGAGCGTGAGATTGACAGGCGGATCGGTGCAGCGTGCGCAGTGATGCGGTCGCTGTATCGGACCGTTGTGGTAAAGAGGGAGCTGAGCCGAAAGGCAAAGCTCTCGATTTACCGGTCAATCTTCGTTCCCTCCCTCACCTATGGTCATGAGCTTTGGGTAATGACCGAAAGAACGAGATCGCGGATACAAGCGGTCGAAATGAGCTTCCTCCTCAGAGTGGCTGGGCGCTCCCTTAGAGATAGGGTGAGGAGCTCAGTCACACGGGAGGAGCTCGGAGTAGAGCCGCTGCTTCTCCACGTCGAGAGGAACCAGTTGAGGTGGCTCGGGCATCTGTTCCGGATGCCTCCTGGACGCCTCCCTGGGGAGGTGTTCCGGGCACGTCCCACCGGGAGGAGGCCCCGCGGAAGACCTAGGACACGCTGGAGGGACTATGTCTCTCAGCTGGCCTGGGAACGCCTAGGGGTCCCCCCGGACGAGCTGGAGGAAGTGTGTGTGGATAGGGAAGTCTGGGCGTCTCTGCTTAGACTGCTGCCCCCGCGACCCGGCAACGGATAAAGCGGAAGAAAATGGATGGATGGAGCTTCTCAGGACTTGCTGCAGTTTTCAGCCCATTCAAAAGGATTGTATAGAAATTTTATAAAGTTCTTATATTCTTTCTACACATTTCTATTATTCAAATCCGTCAATTCAATATATTTTTGTGAAGCCCTAAATCACAACGGTAGATATCTCGTCCTGCGAGATATCTACCGTATCTAAGTAAGTAGTAAGTAAGTAATCTTTATTTATATACCGCCTTTCACAGACCAGAGTCACAAAGCGGTTTACAATTGTTATTTTTGGGCACTAACAAAGTCGTCGATTCGCCAACACAGATAACACATAGTGATTGGTCCAAAAGGTGGCAGAGACCAAAGCCCATAAATGACTATAAATATCGAGTGTCCTGGATCGTCACCACTGGGCTTAGACCAGGCATGTCCAAACTCAGGCCCTGGGGCCAATTGCGGCCCTCTGTGTAAATTGATGTGGCCCTTTGCCTTACTAACCCTGAGTTGTTCGCCGTGTCATCCATCCATCTTCAGCTCAGCCATTATAGACTTATCTCGTTCTAAAGTCCACTACGTCTGGAATTCAGTCGTTGACTTGTGAGATGGTGAGACGGTAAACATGCGTCATTCAGCCAACTTCAGCTCTGTTATAGATCATCATAAAACTCAGAATTGCCTGATGTCAGTCAAGACACTTTTTCAGCCTGGGTTGTTGGTCCTTGGACTAGTCTGGAGAACTAATGTGGCCCTCTTACTTAAATGTGTGGACCCCCCTGGCTTAGACCCTTCCTTACCGGTTATATGTCCAGCTTCTGTTTTCCAATATTCCAGGGATCAGGAAGCTGGTCTCAAGGATCCAACAAAGCTGAGAGTGAGGACCGTCAAAGGGACTTCAGAGAGTCCTGCACCGGCCTTTCTTCTTCAATCCTCATCTGACGCTAATGCTTTCCACATGTTTTGAAAGCCGAAACTTGAGCAAAAGTGACAGTTTTAGGCCTTGTATATTCTGTCTTGCTCGCCGTGGATCCGCCAGAGAGTAGATTACTCAAATGTACCCACAGATAATAGATCTATGTGTGAGAGTCCTGCAAGTGGTCTGAGTCATACTGTATGTTCTTCTGAAATTCCTTCCAAAGCTCTTAAAACTAAAGTCGATCTGAATCAATATTTAACCATTTTTGGTGTTCCAGTAAATTCAGTTTAATCTGAACCCAATCCCTCTAAAATGTTAGCTTTTACCTCACTTATTGCTGTAGGTGTAATATTTTACTACTCTGGAAATCTTCTCAAGCACCTGTAATATCCCAGTGGTTTTGTGACGTTCTTTCATTCCTTAAATTGGAGAAGATTAATTTCACAATAAAAAGATACAAAGACATTTTTTAACACAAATGGTGTCCCTTTTTGAGATACTGTAAATCATTGCGAACCGTGCCTGTGGATTGACCCCCCCATCACTCTTTTTTTATTATTATTATTATTATTATTATTATTATTATTATTGTTCCATCCATCCATCCATTTTCTACCCCTTAATCCATTTCTGGGTCAGGGGGGTGGCAGTCAGAGATGCCACCCAAGTCTCATAGCACCAGCCCCTCACTGACCCTCTGCAGGTGGTGAGTCCACAGGAGGCTGCTCTCTGAGTGTGAGCATAGCCTTGATCTTTCAGTTGGGGCTTTGGGCAAAGTCGGGTTAAGTGTCTTGCCCAAGGACACAACGACAGCAGACATCAGTGGGAGTTGGTGGAGAAGGTGTCAACGTGGGAATTGAACCCACAACCTTCAGGCCTAAAGGCTACTGTCGCCCTTATATATCATATTATTATTGTTATTATTTTATTATTATTATTTTATTTTTTTAAATCTTTTTTTTCTACGTGTCTACTGTTGTGGAAACTTAAAGATTGAAAAAAAAAAAAGTATGTATAGTTTGGATTCTTTCTGGAAGGATCTCTGGGCAAAAGCGACATGAAAAAGACCGTTTTGTCTAATGTTATGCTTCATGTTGTAGCAATGTGAGCAGTTTTATCCTTTCATTTCGGCCCAAATCTGGAGCTGGGGCTTCTGTAAACATGCACTTCCTCCGTGGCCTGCCCTCCACTTACCTCCAGGCGTGGTTTCTTTTCCTTGTTCTTTATCAAATCCACAGCTTTCCCGCTCAGCCTTGGTTTATCTCTGTCCTGTCTTTTCTCAGGCGCACATTCAGCTGGACTGTGGAGAAGACAACATCTGTGTCCCTGACCTGAAGCTGGCGGTTTATGGGTGAGACAGAGTTATCTTTGACTGAGAAACCCACTCTCTCGGTTGTATCAGTATGAAAGTTATGATCGTAGAAACGTTTCGGCTTTGAGTTTCAGAGATCTCTTATTGGTCCCACAGTGGGGAAATGTCAGTGTTGCATCACCAATTTCTGAACAGTAGAAATGAGGAGCACACAGCACAAGATAAATGAACAATAACTCGATTCATCCATCCATTTTCTACCCTTTAATCCATTTCTGGGTCAGGGGGGTGGCAGTCAGAGATGCCACCCAAGTCTCATAGCACCAGCCCCTCACTGACCCTCTGCAGGTGGTGAGTCCACAGGAGGACGGCTGCTCTCTGAGTGTGAGCATAGCCTTGATCTTTCAGTGGGGGCTTTGGGCAAAGTGGGGTTAAGTGTCTTGCCCAAGGACACAACGACAGCAGTCATCAGTGGGAGTCTGTGGAGAAGGTGCAGAAGTGGGAATTGAACCCACGACCTTCAGGCCTGAAGGCCAGTGCTCTACCAACTGAGCTACTGTCGCCCAATAACTCTATTCAGATAGAGCGATAGGCAGCTCTCATTGCCAAACCCCTGGTTCAGAGTGAAATTCTGAATGCTTTATTAATATTTTTCAAAAACATTAGCATTCTTCCAGTGGATTTCCTCTTGATCCTCTTGGTTGGGACCTGCTCTGGTCTGGATCAGTGTAAAACCATGAACATTATACTGCAGTTACATTTACAGACAGAAAAAAGCAAGACATATTTTTGTAAAACACAAAACAACAAATGTTTCAGAGATACTTCCTGCCGTTTCCAGTGCATTCTAAAAAGAGAGTAGAAGGACTAGTAAAATGATATGTGTGAGTGCTTTGAAGTGAATAAAAAGTGTTCCTCGGTGTGAAAACAACAGCAGGTCAGAGGTCCTGGGGTCTCGACTCTCACTGGGCTCCTCTGAGTTCAGACCGACCTTTGGTGTTTGTGGAGACCTGAGCTTGACTTACGACGCAGGTCACGTTACGGACTCCTCCATTTGTTTAAGCCCACGGGTGTCAGGGGCCGAGGGAAAGCAAAACAAAATAACGAGCTATTAGACAAAACACTGACAAATGGAATCAATCTCAGCTCGACAAGCTCGTCTCCTGTCGCACGACTTTTCCTCATGGATGTATTTGGATTCTACACTTCAAACAACTCAGATTTCCAACAACATGAGAATGTGCGGTGGAATTTTATCTGGTGATCCCTACACTCAGATGGTTGTGCGATTGTGTGTGTTTGTTTGTTAGGGAGAGGCCAGAATGTGCAGAAGAGTGTTGGAGGTTTTTATGATTGGTCTGTGGTTGGTCTGTGGTTGGTCTGTGGTTGGTCTGTGGTTGGTCTTTAGTTGGTCTGTGGTTGGTCTTTGGTTAGTCTGCGGTTGGTCTGTGGTTGGTCTTTAGTTGGTCTGCGGTTGGTCTGTGGTTGGTCTTTAGTTGGTCTGCGGTTGGTCTGCGGTTGGTCTGTGGTTGGTCTGTGGTTGGTCCGTGGTTGGTCTTTGGTTGGTCTTTAGTTGGTCTGTGGTTGGTCTGTGGTTGGTCTTTGGTTGGTCTTTAGTTGGTCTGTGGTTGGTCTGCGGTTGGTCTGCGGTTGGTCTGTGGTTGGTCTGCGGTTGGTCTGCGGTTGGTCTGTGGTTGGTCTGTGGTTGGTCTGTGGTTGGTCTGCGGTTGGTCTGTGGTTGGTCTGTGGTTGGTCTGTGGTTAGTCTGTGGTTGGTCTTTAGTTGGTCTGTGGTTGGTCTGTGGTTGGTCTGCGGTTGGTCTGTGGTTGGTCTGTGGTTAGTCTGTGGTTGGTCTTTAGTTGGTCTGTGGTTGGTCTGTGGTTGGTCTGTGGTTGGTCTGTGGTTGGTCTGTGGTTGGTCTGTGGTTGGTCTTTGGTTAGTCTGCGGTTGGTCTGCGGTTGGTCTGTGGTTGGTCTGTGGTTGGTCTGTGGTTGGTCTGTGGTTGGTCTGTGGTTGGTCTTTGGTTGGTCTTTGGTTGGTCTGTGGTTGGTCTGTGGTTGGTCTTTAGTTGGTCTGTGGTTGGTCTGTGGTTGGTCTGTGGTTGGTCTTTAGTTGGTCTGTGGTTGGTCTGTGGTTAGTCTGCGGTTGGTCTTTGGTTAGTCTGCGGTTGGTCTTTGGTTGGTCTGTGGTTGGTCTGTGGTTGGTCTGTGGTTGGTCTTTAGTTGGTCTTTGGTTGGTCTGTGGTTGGTCTGTGGTTGGTCTTTAGTTGGTCTGCGGTTGGTCTGCGGTTGGTCTGTGGTTGGTCTGTGGTTGGTCTTTAGTTGGTCTGCGGTTGGTCTGTGGTTGGTCTGTGGTTGGTCTGTGGTTGGTCTGTGGTTGGTCTTTAGTTGGTCTGCGGTTGGTCTGCGGTTGGTCTGCGGTTGGTCTGTGGTTGGTCTGTGGTTGGTCTTTAGTTGGTCTGCGGTTGGTCTGTGGTTGGTCTGTGGTTGGTCTTTAGTTGGTCTGTGGTTGGTCTGTGGTTGGTCTGTGGTTGGTCTGTGGTTGGTCTGTGGTTGGTCTTTAGTTGGTCTGTGGTTGGTCTGTGGTTGGTCTGCGGTTGGTCTGCGGTTGGTCTGTGGTTGGTCTGTGGTTGGTCTTTAGTTGGTCTGTGGTTGGTCTGTGGTTGGTCTGTGGTTGGTCTTTAGTTGGTCTTTGGTTGGTCTGTGGTTGGTCTGTGGTTGGTCTTTGGTTGGTCTGTGGTTGGTCTGTGGTTGGTCTTTAGTTGGTCTGCGGTTGGTCTGCGGTTGGTCTGCGGTTGGTCTGTGGTTGGTCTGTGGTTGGTCTGTGGTTGGTCTTTAGTTGGTCTGCGGTTGGTCTGCGGTTGGTCTGCGGTTGGTCTTTAGTTGGTCTGCGGTTGGTCTGTGGTTGGTCTGCGGTTGGTCTGTGGTTGGTCTTTAGTTGGTCTGTGGTTGGTCTTTGGTTGGTCTGCGGTTGGTCTGCGGTTGGTCTTTGGTTGGTCTTTGGTTGGTCTGTGGTTGGTCTGTGGTTGGTCTGTGGTTGGTCTTTAGTTGGTCTGCGGTTGGTCTGCGGTTGGTCTGCGGTTGGTCTGCGGTTGGTCTGTGGTTGGTCTGTGGTTGGTCTTTAGTTGGTCTGCGGTTGGTCTGTGGTTGGTCTGCGGTTGGTCTGTGGTTGGTCTGTGGTTGGTCTTTAGTTGGTCTGTGGTTGGTCTGTGGTTGGTCTGTGGTTGGTCTGTGGTTGGTCTGTGGTTGGTCTTTAGTTGGTCTGTGGTTGGTCTGTGGTTGGTCTGCGGTTGGTCTGCGGTTGGTCTGTGGTTGGTCTGTGGTTGGTCTTTAGTTGGTCTGTGGTTGGTCTGTGGTTGGTCTGTGGTTGGTCTTTGGTTGGTCTGTGGTTGGTCTGTGGTTGGTCTGTGGTTGGTCTGTGGTTGGTCTGTGGTTGGTCTGTGGTTGGTCTGTGGTTGGTCTGTGGTTGGTCTTTAGTTGGTCTGCGGTTGGTCTGCGGTTGGTCTGCGGTTGGTCTTTAGTTGGTCTGCGGTTGGTCTGTGGTTGGTCTGTGGTTGGTCTTTAGTTGGTCTGTGGTTGGTCTTTGGTTGGTCTGCGGTTGGTCTGCGGTTGGTCTGCGGTTGGTCTGCGGTTGGTCTGTGGTTGGTCTGTGGTTGGTCTTTAGTTGGTCTGCGGTTGGTCTGTGGTTGGTCTGCGGTTGGTCTGTGGTTGGTCTGTGGTTGGTCTTTAGTTGGTCTGTGGTTGGTCTGTGGTTGGTCTGTGGTTGGTCTGTGGTTGGTCTTTAGTTGGTCTGTGGTTGGTCTGTGGTTGGTCTGCGGTTGGTCTGTGGTTGGTCTGTGGTTGGTCTTTAGTTGGTCTGCGGTTGGTCTGTGGTTGGTCTGTGGTTGGTCTTTAGTTGGTCTGCGGTTGGTCTGCGGTTGGTCTTTAGTTGGTCTGTGGTTGGTCTGCGGTTGGTCTGTGGTTGGTCTTTAGTTGGTCTGTGGTTGGTCTTTGGTTGGTCTGCGGTTGGTCTGCGGTTGGTCTGTGGTTGGTCTTTAGTTGGTCTGCGGTTGGTCTGTGGTTGGTCTGTGGTTGGTCTGTGGTTGGTCTGTGGTTGGTCTGTGGTTGGTCTGTGGTTGGTCTTTGGTTAGTCTGCGGTTGGTCTTTGGTTGGTCTGTGGTTGGTCTGTGGTTGGTCTTTAGTTGGTCTTTGGTTGGTCTGTGGTTGGTCTGTGGTTGGTCTGTGGTTGGTCTTTAGTTGGTCTTTGGTTGGTCTTTGGTTGGTCTGTGGTTGGTCTTTAGTTGGTCTTTGGTTGGTCTTTGGTTGGTCTGTGGTTGGTCTGTGGTTGGTCTTTAGTTGGTCTTATAAGTCTTCCTACAGGGGTGAATGTGTCAGGATCTAAAAAGCATTACAAACTTGTCTGTTGTTGCACTACTTTTCTTCAGAGCTCTGTGTATGTGTCCACTTCAAGCAACTCACAGATCACAAAAGAAAGCAACTTGTGAAAGTGTATTCAATACAGTTCATTTTTGTGTCGCCCTAAATATCTAAGTCACAACAGTAATTATCTCAGAGGACTTTACAAAGAAAACCCAGTGGGAGAAAAGTGAGAAAGCTCAGGGAGACCCACATTGATGGATGGATCTACTCTCATGGACAGACAAGCTGTAGATCCAGGAGTCAGGCTGTAGAACGAGTACAGGGTGTAGTGGAATTGTATCCGGTTGATCTCTATGATCTAGAGATAATGTGCAATAGATTAGAGGTCTTTCCTTGGTCTTTTGCTTGATTGATAACTCTTCCTGCGTCAGTGAATTTATCAGTCTAAAAAGAATCATCTGAGAAAACTGTCTCATATTTTCAGGAAGACTGTTCCAGATTTTAGCTGCATGAATCTGAAACGCTGCCTCCAAATTTTTAGTTCTGACTCTGGGACCAGCAGGAGGCCAGTCCCTGTGCTCCTCAGAGTCCCAGCAGGAGGCCAGTCCCTGTGCTTCTCAGAGTCCCAGCAGGAGGCCAGTCCCTGTGCTCCTCAGAGTCCCAGCAGGAGGCCAGTCCCTGTGCTCCTCAGAGTCCCAGCAGGAGGCCAGTCCCTGTGCTTCTCAGAGTCCCAGCAGGAGGCCAGTCCCTGTGCTCCTCAGAGTTGGTTCACATGGCTCCAACATGTCAGATGTACTTTGGTGTGAGGCCACGGAGCTGCTTAAAAAAAAAAAAAAATCCAACTGATCAAATCCACACAATATCCCACATGTTGCACAACGTCGTCTGTTATCGATAAAAAAGACTGACTTTTAAAAAAAACAGTTGTTCTAAGAATTCTTTTATATAGTTTGTAGACTGTTAAACAAAAAGCGCAGTATTTGTGATTGTCATATGTTTTCTGGTTCTCTCTGTGGACAAAGCTACTCTCAGTCGCACCAGTGTTTTCAGGACCATGTGTCTCAGGACCATGTGATTTCTCTCAGCTGCAAGAATCAGTTTAGAAATGTTCCCATCCAAACATTTGCAAATGACTCAGCCACAAGACCACAGCAAACCATTCAGCATTTCACCCACGATTAAGACTGAGAAGAGATGCTGCATCGGTCCCACGGTGGAGAAATGTCAGTGTTGCATCAGCAGTTTACAGAGCAGTGGGAATGAGATAAATGAACAATATCTCTAGCTTAATAAAGAAGCTAGTATAAAATCTCTATCTTTAGCATAATTCAGAAGCTAGTCTACTGAATATTTTAGTGCAAGAAACATAAAGCTGTATGTTTACATCTGTACATTAGCAGCACGAGGCTCTGGGACAGTGACACATGTGGTTCTGTATTGCACATTCTTACATAATTATTATTGCACAGATAAGTAAAGTAAAGTGACAGTGGACGCATGTGGTTTCATATTGCACATTACTTTACACACGATACAAGGCTCTCCCAGAACAAACTCAAATGTCTCCCTGTTAAACTGTGCTGCCAAACTTCCCATCATGCACTAAACTGAACTAATGAATTTCATCTGGTCTTACCTAAAGCGAGGGGTCACTGCGTCCTCCGGGGGGAAGGGGGAAGGGTGCCCCCAAAACAAAACACCCGCTAGTCCCTGCGTTCTGCTCCATCGAAAACATGAAACACATTTATTTATTAAAGATGCAGTCAGTGAGTTTTACCAGACGCATTTTTTTGTGGGAAAACGTCCCTAAACCCTAAAAGTATCACGTTATCATGTGTTTTCAAATATTGATGGAATTGACCAGATGTCTATAGTCTACAAAAATAAAAATAAAATGTTATGGAGCGGACTGATAAAAATAGACCAATGGGATTCGTTCATCCCCAACGAACCAATGGGATGTGTTTATCGATGTATAAAATCTCTAACTCTACCTCGGTACATGTCAGCAGCATCATGACACATGTGGATCTATATTGCACATTCTGACACAAAACAAATTATTATTGAACTCTTTCGTTTGCAAAAAAATCGTGCACTTTCTAATTCTTTTCAGCTGACCCTGAGACTTCACCAGAACTAGTCCTCGAGTCACCGGTGTCTCAATCAGGGGGGAAAGGGGGAAGGGAGCCCAGTAAAGAAAACACCCTCCGGTCCCTGGGTTCTGCTCGATAGAAACATGAATTTACTGCAGCAATAGAATGTGGCAGAGTTGGGGGTCGTGGATTTATCGCAGTCTATGGAGTCGCTCAGGAGCCGCTCAGGAGCCGCTCAGGAGTCGCTTTCAAAGTGCTGCACATGGACGGAGAGGAGGAGGGGGGGGTTTCCTGAGACAAACCCGGTGATCAGATTGGTAAAAATGGGCCCATAGGGACAGAAACCACAGAGCAGCATTGTAAAAAGAGTTTGAATATACCTCCTTGTCTGGGTTTGGTGTCCTGGCATGGACCGCTTTGGGCATGCACTGCAAAAAGTGTTACAACATAAGTGCATGAATTGAGTGGTTTTTAAACATGATTCTCCAATGGGACAAAGCCATTTAGACTTATTTCAAGAACAAATAAGACTAAACATCTCAAAATCTACCTTTTTAAACTGGCTTATTCTTTGTAATTTAATAATGTTTTATATTCTGTACTTTTAATAACGTGAGTGATGTGTTTTAATGTATTGTAAGGCGTTCTTGAGTGTCTGGAAAGGCGCCATGAAATAAAATGAATTATTATTATTTTATTATTAACTATTTTCTGATTCAAATTAAAACAAGATCATTTTGCTTTGTCCCCTTGAAAACAATTGTATATTTTTTCCAAAGTTGAATAATGTTTTACTTCTTTGTCATCAGAAGGGACAGAGTGCACAGTTCGTGGTCTAATAAAGTCATTACGATCCAAATCCACCTTTTGATAACTGATGCAATCCAACTGCTGGAGTTTAGCTCGAAACAGAAACAAACTCTCTGTGTTGAGTTCAAATATGATGTGTCCATGTGGCCTGTGATGTGGGACACTCCTCCTACTGCTCTGTGACACTGCAACACTGGAATTTCCCTCTGAATAAAGGATCTTATCCTAATCTTAATAATAATACTGCATTGGCTTTATGTAGATCAACATTTTTCTTTCACTCCATACTCTGTGGTGATAAACTAGTGTCGTAGCCACAGCTGCCCTGGGGCACACTGACAGAAGCGTGTAGCATGGTGTAAGTGTATAACATGTAGAGTGTGTGTTGATGATGTGTGTTCAGGGATAAGAGGATGGCGTACCTCGGGGACGAGAACGCGCTGACTCTGATCCTGAACGCGGTGAACGAAGGAGAGGGCGGAGCCTACGAAGCCGAGCTGTACGTGCTGCTGCCTCCAGACGCAGACTACAGCGGGATCGCACGCAACAACCACGTGAGAAATACTTATTTTACATCCTTAAATCATTTGATTGACATTTATGTATTTATATATTATATTTTGTTTAATTAAGTTATATCTATTTATTTTGTTTTATGTATTTATTATTGTATCTACTATTATTGACTTTATTTAACCTTTTCTTGTGTGTTTTTAGAGTCTGTCTCAGATCACCTGCAGTTATGAATCCCAGAACGACACCCGCTTCCTCCTGTGTGACCTGGGGAACCCCATGAAGCCCGGCAGCGACGTAAGACATAGGCCCCGTCCCCAATTCTGAGGGAACTCGAGCTGTGAGTGCCCTCACCATAAAAGTGCCCTCCCATACGGCAGTGCACTCGAAGGATATTCTCCCTGAGAAATGGGACACCCCTGGATCTAGGGAACAATATGCAAATCAACGCAGCAAACGTGTTTCACGTCACACACAACATCGATGTGTCTGAGGCCCTGTTAATACTGAGACGCTGCGCAGACGTTTCCAGGCTATTAACAGAAACGACCTGGCTCCTAATGCAAATGTCTCAGCGTTCACATGAGGTTGAAAAACGATGTAGTTCTAGCGCCCGGCCAGTAGTGGGCAGAGAAACTTTACAACACTCACACGACCCCCAGCCCCGTGCCCAGCCCCCCTCTCGGCAGTGTACTCACTTCCTGTGCCAGACCCGCAGGACGCACCAACATCATTCTGCATTTTAACAGCAGCTGTGAACATGGAAACTGAACCTAGAGCTTCGCGTGGTCTTGTTTGGACGAACGAAGGTGTAGAATTATCTTCTGGGCCGTGCTGGAAGCCCACGAAGCTAGTTAGTGTGACCGCCGCCATTGTTGTTGATGTTTGTTCTCCGCTACTGCACATGTCCAAATGTACGTGCTGGAGCAGCAGGAGGCGGGGGTCAGAGCAGAGGGGGATTTCACACCTTTTCCCTCTCGCGGGTGTGAAAGAGCCCCCGCTGTGCAGCGTTTCTGAGTTGTCCCACTCTGCAGGCTGGATCTGAACACTTACGTTTTCACCTGGAACACGGTCTTTGTATGAACGGTTGGTAGAAACCGACATCCAACTATAGCGTTTTACTGCCACATTGTCTCCGTGTAAACTCAGCCTGACTCACCACAGATAAGACCACGTATGAAAACAATAACAAGATTCAGGGGCTGGAAAACTAATTTAGAAATCCAAATATCTCTGAACTACTGGAAAAGAGCAGGTTTTATTAATGCCTTTGGACAGATTAGGGCCCTTTAATGAAGACAGATTAGGGCCCTTTAATGATGATAGATTAGGGCCCTTTAATGATGACAGATTAGGGCCCTTTAATGATGACAGATTAGGGCCCTTTAATGATGACAGATTAGGGTCCTTTAATGATGACAGATAAGGGCCCTTTAATGATGACAGATTAGGGCCCTTTAATGATGACAGATTAGGGCCCTTTAATGATGACAGATTAGGGCCCTTTGATGATGACAGATTAGGGCCCTTTAATGATGACAGATTAGGGCCCTTTAATGATGACAGATTAGGGCCCTTTAATGATGACAGATTAAGGCCCTTTAATGATGACAGATTAGGGCCCTTTAATGACGACAGATTAGGGCCCTTTAATGGTGACAGATTAGGGCCCTTTAATGAGGACAGATTAGGGCCCTTTAATGATGACAAATTAGGGCCCTTTAATGACGACAGATTAGGGCCCTTTAATGATGACAGATTAGGGCCCTTTAATGAGGACAGATTAGGGCCCTTTAATGATGACAGATTAGGGCCCTTTAATGATGACAGATTAGGGCCCTTTAATGATGACCTGACATGAAAATCTTATATGTTGCTACTTTAAAGATAAACGTTGTATAACTTGCTTGATTTCTTCTTTATCTTTCTTATTTGACTGTTTTTTAGATTATTTCAGAATTTGGTTTGAATGAGAGCCGTCAAAATGACTGCTCTGGGAGTTGCAGGAGTCTCAGAAATCTTAAAGTTAATGTTTTTCTTTCTGTCACAGATCTGGGCCGGGCTGCGCTTCACGGTGCCCAGACTCAAAGACTCATATAAAGTCGTGGAGTTCGAACTCCAAATACGAAGGTAACGTCTGAACTTTAGCTTCAGTCCTCGTTTTACACACTGACAGTCAGAGCCTCATCGAGTTTGTTTTGTAATTTGCAGCAAAAACGCAAATAATTCTGAGAGTGAAGTGGTGGTGTACGAGCTGGAGGTGGCTGCTCTGGCGGACGTGCTGCTGCAGGGGTGAGGCCAAACTCAGGCCCGTGGGCCAAATCCGGCCGCAAGACTGTTCTTAGTGGCCCCTAATATGATTTTCACTTATTATCATTACTATTATTATTATTATTATTTGCAGCATTGGTGGTAATGGGCTTTCATGGGATGTTATACATCATCTCATTCTCTCAGGAAAAAAACAAATGTTAATATACAAATGTAACACGTCATAAGCAGTTAAATACTTACAAATGAAACAATTTGTTCAACTTGATTTGGTCCAGTTTGAGCTAAATGGTTTCAAAAAAAAAGAAAAAATCTGTCAAACACATGTAACAAAAAATTCCAAACATTTATAAGAAAAGGAAATCCCTTCTATTCTTCCGACCCCGACCAAAGGTGCGTCGTCCTGTTGGGAGTCATGTGACATCACAGAGTCATGTGACATCACAGAGTCATGTGACATCACAGAGTCATGTGACACACAGAGTCATGTGACATCACAGTGTTGTCTGTGGCAGAGTTTCTCGTCCGGATAAAGTGGTGTTTCCTCCCCCGAGCTGGAAGATGATCCAGGGGCTGCGGCGGGAGCAGGACGTGGGCCCCGAGCTGCAGCACGTCTTTGAGGTGAGGTCTACATCATGTGTTCCAGTCCATTTCAATGTGTTTCGCCCAGAATCTGTGTTTTTCAACCCGTGGGCCGTGGTACGATAGTGTGCCTTTGGAAATGATCCAACACACTGCAAAAGTGATGAAAAATAAGTCAAAATGTGCTCATTTGAGCTCATTCTGACTGCATTCAGTGAGACATGAAAATGATACAAGAAATGTCTCCCTTGAAATCAGACTAAATGGCTTCATCCCAATGGTAAAACCTGTTCAAAGACGGTCAGAATGTGCTCAGATTAAGATAAAAAATATGTATATTTATCCCTTTTTGCAGTGTATCAGCTAAAACACTATGAAAAGAAAGAAGATTAGAAAGACTTTTTAGACTTAGACTTTGTCGATCCACAGGGAAATTGCGTTGTCACAATAAAAAATAACATTAAAGTAACAATCTAGAAATAAGAACGATAATAAGATAATATTGTGAGAACATAATAATCTGGATAGAAGTACTCAGGAATATAAATACTAATATATTCCTGAGTACTTCTGAATATGTACATGTACAGTATGAAACACAGAGGAAATAGGATTCTACACATCAGTTAAAGGAGCAATATGTAATACTGTATTTGCATGTCAAGTCATCATGAAATGACCCGAATATTTCAAAAGGCGTTATTAAATCATACTCTTTTCGAATTCATCTTTAACTGATAACAGTAGTTCAGCCGAGATATTTGATTATCAAAATTAGTTTTACGACCCGTAAAAGTTGTTATTGTTTTGATTTTGATGTCCTACCCTCCGCCGTTTCGCCAATCAGGAAGTGTCATGTAAGTCCGTGATCGAGTTGCCAGAACTCCGCGCGGCTCATTAATGTCAGTGGTAAAATAACATGTGGCGCAGAACTAAAAAAGGTCTCTCAAATCATTAATGACAAAACAAAGACTAAAACGAGGATTTATATTGGGATGCCTTTGAACAATTGAGACAGCTGATAAAAGTTTACGTGTGATGCAGAATTTTCTAGTTTGAGTACGTTCTTTACAGTGGCTCTCTACGTGTGATTCGATGGTCTAGTGGTCTAAACTGTGCGCTTACGATGCAGGAACCCGGGTTCGATCCCGGGCTATGTCTTTTTGTATTCATTGCATGTTATCACATTCTATGACAGATTGCTCTAAAAACGGTAAAAGATGAAGGTCAAGACGTTTTTTTGCAGATTATAGCTTAATTGTAAAAATAATCATTTAAGACCACATGTACCCCAATTAAAATAATGTTAGTCTCTTTTTGATGTGGGACTTTTACATGTTTGTCTAAAAAATAGGGAATAAATAAAATTGAAAGGTGATATCCATCCATCCATCCATTTTCTTCCGCTTTATCCGTTGCCGGGTCGCGGGGGCAGCAGTCTAAGCAGAGACGCCCAGACTTCCCTATCCACACACACTTCCTCCAGCTCGTCCGGGGGGACCCCTAGGCGTTCCCAGGCCAGCTGAGAGACATAGTCCCTCCAGCGTGTCCTAGGTCTTCCGCGGGGCCTCCTCCCGGTGGGACGTGCCCGGAACACCTCCCCAGGGAGGCGTCCAGGAGGCATCCGGAACAGATGCCCGAGCCACCTCAACTGGTTCCTCTCGACGTGGAGAAGCAGCGGCTCTACTCCGAGCTCCTCCCGTGTGACTGAGCTCCTCACCCTATCTCTAAGGGAGCGCCCAGCCACTCTGCGGAGGAAGCTCATTTCGACCGCTTGTATCCGCGATCTCGTTCTTTCGGTCATTACCCAAAGCTCATGACCATAGGTGAGGGAGGGAACGAAGATTGACCGGTAAATCGAGAGCTTTGCCTTTCGGCTCAGCTCCCTCTTTACCACAACGGTCCGATACAGCGACCGCATCACTGCGCACGCTGCACCGATCCGCCTGTCAATCTCACGCTCCATTCTTCCCTCACTCGTGAACAAGACCCCGAGATACTTGAACTCCTCCACTTGAGGAAGGACCTCTCCACCCACCTGAAGAGGGCAGGGCACCTTTTTCCGGTCGAGCACCATGGCCTCAGATTTGGAGGTGCTGATTCTCATCCCAGCCGCTTCACACTCGGCTGCAAACCGTCCCAGTGAATGCTGCAGGTCCTGGTTCGTTGGAGCCAACAGGACAACATCGTCCGCAAACAGCAGAGATGAAATCCTGTGGTCCCCGAACCGGACCCCCTCCGACCCCTGGCTGCGCCTAGATATTCTGTCCATAAATACAGTGAACAGAACCGGTGACAAAGGGCAGCCCTGTCGGAGGCCAACATTCACCGGGAACAGATCTGACTTACTGCCGGCAATGCGAACACAGCTCTGGCTCCGGTCATACAGGGACCGGATGGCCCTCAGCAGAGGACCCCCGACCCCGTACTCCCGGAGAACCCCCCAAAGGACACCCCGGGGAACACAGTCGAACGCCTTCTCCAAATCCACAAAGCACATGTGGACAGGTTGGGCGAACTCCCATGAACCCTCGAGTATCCGATGGAGAGTATAGAGCTGGTCCAGTGTTCCGCGACCGGGACGAAAACCACACTGCTCCTCCTGGATCCGAGATTCGACCATCGGCCGTAGCCTCCTCTCCAGTACCTTGGAGTAGACCTTACCGGGGAGGCTGAGGAGTGTGATCCCACGATAATTGGAACACACCCTCCGGTCCCCCTTCTTATAGAGAGGGACCACCACCCCGGTCTGCCACTCCATTGGCACCGCCCCCGATCGCCACGCGATGTTGCAGAGACGTGTCAGCCAAGACAGTCCTACAACATCCAGAGACTTTAGATAATCAGGGCGGATCTCATCCACACCCGGAGCCTTGCCACCATGGAGGCTACCAACCACCTTGGTGACCTCAGCCAGGGAGATGGATGTATCCGCCCCAGCATCCTCAGCCTCTGCCTCTGAGACAGAGGACGTGACGGGGGGATTGAGGAGAACCTCAAAGTATTCCTTCCACCGCCCGACAATATCCCCCGTTGAGGTCAGCAGCTCTCCACCCGCACCGTACATGGTGTTGGCAAAGAACTGCTTCCCCCTCCTGAGGCGCCGGACGGTTTGCCAGAATTTCTTTGAGGCTGACCAATAGTCATGCTCCATGGACTCTCCGAACTCCTCCCAGTCCCGGGTTTTTGCCTCTGCAACAGCCCGGGCTGCGGCACGCTTGGCCTGCCGGTACTGGACAGCTGCCTCAGGAGTCCCCCGAACCATCATGGCTCGATAGGACTCCTTCTTCAGCCTGACAGCTTCCCTTACTGCCGGTGTCCACCACCGGGTTCGGGGGTTGCCGCCGGGACCAGCACCAGAGACCTTGCGACCACAGCTACGGGCCGCCGCATCGGCGATTGAGGCAGAGAACATGGTCCACTCGGACTCCATGTCCCCCTCCTCCACCGGGACCTGGGAGAAACTCTCCCGGAGGTGTGAGTTGAAAGTCCGTCTGACAGGGGGCTCAGCGAGACGTTCCCAGCAGACCCTCACTATACGCTTGGGTCTGCCAGGTCTGACCGGCTTCTTCCCCTGCCAGCGGATCCAACTCACGACCAGGTGATGATCGGTTGACAGCTCCGCCCCTCTCTTTACCCGAGTGTCCGAGACACGCGGTCGAAGGTCAGATGATACGACAACAAAGTCGATCATCGACCTCCGGCCTAGGGTGTCCTGGTGCCACGTGCACTGGTGGACACCCTTGTGCTCGAACATGGTGTTCGTGATGGACAAACTGTGACTGGCACAGAAGTCCAACAACTGAACACCGCTCGGGTTCAGATCAGGGGGGCCGCTCTTCCCGATCACCCCTCTCCAAGTGTCACTGGCGTTTCCCACATGGGCGTTGAAGTCCCCCAGGAGAATAACGGAGTCCCCGGGCGGTGCACCGTCCAGTACCCCTCCCAAGGACTCCAAGAAGGCCGGGTACTCTGCACTGCTGTTAGGCCCGTAGGCCGTCACAAACAGTGAGAGACTTGTCCCCCACCCGGAGGCGGAGGGACGCGACCCTCTCATTCACCGGGGAGAACTCCAACACGTGGCGGCTGAGATGGGGGGCAATGAGAATGGCCACCCCAGCTCGCCGCCTCTCCCCGCGGGAAACACCAGAAAAGTGGAGCGTCCAACCCCTCTCAAGGAGTTGGGTTCCAGAGCCCAAGCTGTGTGTGGAGGTGAGGCCGACTATCTCTAGTCGGTATCGCTCAACCTCCCCCACAAGCTCGGGCTCCTTCCCCCCCAGTGAGGTGACGTTCCACGTCCCGAGAGCCAGCTGTTGTGTGTGTGGACTGGGTCGTCGAGGTCTCCGCCTTCGACTGCTGCCCAGTCCTCTCTGCACCATGCCACCACGGACCCCTCTGCAGGTGGTGGGCCCACAGGAGGGACTGCCCACGTCGTCCATTCGGGCTGAGCCCGGCCGGGCCCCGTGGGCTAAGGCCCGGCCACCAGGCGCTCGCCTACGAGCCCCGACCCCAGGCCTGGCTCCAGGGTGGGGCCCCGGCTGCGCCATGCCGGGCGACGTCACTGGTTTCGTATGAGTGCTGTCCATGGTGTCTTCTGGACTGCTCTTTGTCTGACTCGTCACACGAGACCTGTCTGCCATGGGAGGCCCTACCAGGGGCATGAAGCCCCAGACAGCATAGCTCCCAGGATCATCCGAGTACTCAAACTCCCCCACCACGTTAAGGTGGCAGTCCAGGGGGGAGTCCAGGAAAGGTGATATCCTCTTGAGCAAACCCTGATGTTGATACGCTGAAGAAATACGTTCCAACATCCATTCTTCCCACTCCTATTTTGGACATCAATTGCTTATTTATTTTGCATAAACTATGTATAATTACATTGCTTTTATTTTGTTTTTGTTTTTTATCTCAAATGTCCAAATAATAATAATAAAAAAACATTAATCAAAACATTCATTCAGCATTAGCACGGCTGTCATGGCAATGTGAATGGAGACGGACAAACAACTGATAAAATAATTCCCTGTGTTTGCTGCTGG